AAAGACCTGTGTTTAGTGCCGTGTTCTTGTGTAAGCATTCCCAGGGCTTGGTTAACTTTTTTATGTACAGTAGCAAGCTGAAAGGGTTTGAATCCTTAGGTAGCCCTAGGGCAGGTGGCTCTTGGAGTGAGGTTTTTTTTTTTTGGTCTTATAAAGGCCTGCTCAAGTTTATCTTCCCAGGGAAGAGGCTTGGGCACTGAAATTTCAGTAAGTTCATAAAATAGGGAAGGAAATAGAGAAAAATTAGGAATCCACAGTCTGCATAACCAGCTAGGTCTAGAAATCTGCAAAGCTGTCTCAGAGTTGAAGGCCTAGGAAATTCTTGGATTCACTTAATTCTTTCTGGAGATCACCCTTCAGCACTTAGATTATGACCTAGGTAATGAACAGAGTCCAAAAATAATCATAATTCATTTTAGAGACGTCAGGTCCTTTTTCAGCTAAGTACTGCAGCCAATAAATGCCATCTTTTACGGATCCCTCTTTGGTAATTGATCACAGCAAGAGACGACCCATATATTGTAAAGGGTCAGCTTCCTGGGAGGCTGGAGGGTGCTTAGACCCTGGATGGAGCACTTGGAAGAAGTAAGGAGGAGCCTCCGTGAATCTCTGGCGCATGGCCGTCCAGGTTGATTGCTCCAAGTAAAGGTGAACAAAATGCTCACTGTGCAGTCTACAGGGATGCTGACACAGGACACAGGCTGAAGGAAAGAAAGCCTGCAGCCCTGCACCACCTCGAGTCTGGCAGAGTGTGTGACAAAAGGGTTTGGAACAACTGGGAGATGGAGTAACTAACTGCCTTGTTGCCAGCTCTTAAGTCTGGGGCAAATCACCATATCCTCCCATTAGGTTTCCGGACTGACGAGATCAGCGTCACTGGGCACAGGGAAGGGCGAATTCCTGGGCAATTAGGTCTCTCTTTTTTTGATGTGAGGCCTTGTGTGGCTTCAGGCTTTAACAGCTATTGAGGCCATTTAGAAGAGGGTTAGTCCCATTGTTCTGAATTGTCACAGGCACTGCACTGTTTACTCCCTCAACGTCCGCATCAGAAGTTAGCCTACTGATTTTCAGGCACCTAGGTTAAATCAGGGGAGCTTAGTGGAATTTTTCTTCTATACCAAAGACAGATGGTAAAAATATATATATATATATATATAAAAGATCAGATTCATGTCAATCAGGAAATTCTAAGGTGAGGGCTCCATTAGAAGCAAAGTGTATTCGCCCTTTTAATTTAGAAAGGAGATCTCCGCCTAATGGGGTGACTGGACTGGGTCACACAGCAAAAAAGAACGCTTTTCAGGAAAAGATCCCAGAGCCATTTGTACTGGTTGAGATAGAAATTCTTTCTGACCTGTATTAGATATCCCGACTATGGAAACCATCTTTTTCACTCTTAAGAGACTTCTTGTCCCATGAGAGTGGGGCTGAAAGTAGAAAGTACAGCCTTGGTATCTCCCAGAATTTGGCAAGATTTTCCATTATTTTTCATTCTAATTTCTCCTTGGCTGTTTAAGGGTAGCACTTTGCCTGAGGGTCCCTCAGAGCCCCCTCAGTCCTGGGAGGGACCCATATGGGCCCCTTGGGGGCATTTGAGTGGATGTTGAGGAATTTGCACAGGTCCTTTGAGGACAATCTTTTTTCCACTGCCCTACTTGCTTACAAAGCAAACATCCTTCAGTGGGCCGTGTTTTGATGGTGGACCCCCGAGGAGGGTGCAATTTCAGGGAAACAGGTGTTATTTTAGGTCTCTGGCCTTGAAGCTGTTGTATGTCACAGGCCCCAGTAAGGATCCTAAAGCTCTTCAAAAAACTCGTGGGCATCCTCCCCGAATTGAGACAATTCTTTAACTATGGCCTGTAGTTTGGTCTTTGACCAAGGAGTGAAACACATCTAAAAAAGGATCACCTGCAACCTCTGGTGGTTGTATATGAACAGGTGACTGTTGAACAGTCTTCAGCGTGGAAAGGCAGCTCAGATGGAGGATCAGGAAAGCGTGAGAACTCAGGTGAAGGAGGACAGAGGGGAGACGCGGAGGCACGTCAGTCCTGTCGCCTCCTGTTTTAGGCACCTCTGGTGTCGTTCAGTTTTCACTAGCCTTCCCTAACAAGTTATTTAATGAAACTATTTTGGACTCTTGAACCCTTTGTATACCAATTAAAATGTGTATCACGTTCTGTTTAATTCGGAAACCCTTAGTTTCAAGGGCACTTCTTAAATAAACAATCCTGTCTAACTGGAACATCCCCCAGAATGGCCATTGTACTTCTAGGCTGTTTTCAGTAAGTAGATATTTATAGCTTCAGCAACCGTCGTTTTGAGACATAAAATAAGCAGGTGTGCCAGAAGGTGCACGCTTGACTCTGCAGAACTTAAAGATCCCATCAGCTGAGCCTTTGGGCTTCTCTGAGCCAAAGGAATACCTAAAGGTGTGTGCCGCTGGGCTGGGGACTGTGTGTGTCTACCAGGTACCTCGTGCACAGAAGTCTTCCTGAGGTTGGCGGGTGACCTGGTGCTAGTCTAACCTGTTCCGTGACCAACTTACCTTATCATTAGAGTCTTTGATGTAGGGGGTGTTGCTCTAACAGTCTTTATACGCTTAACCTGTAGCCACCAATTTTTGCAGCTTTCTGGCTTCTGAGATCCCCGCTAGCAATAGCCTTTATTTATGTAAAACAAGACAAACATGCGCACTTTAACACACCCGCAGTGACCAAGAGATGTTACTCTGACCTGGCCAAGAGAAGGCCTGTGCTCCACCAACAATTCCCATGGAAACTTGGTCTGGGGAAAGGCCGGAGCCAGCCATGGGGACCCAGTAAAAGCAGAGTGCAGCCTGGGAGCTCTGCATGGACAGAGTCAAGGGCTGGGGGATTTCTACACAAAACCTGGGCCTTGCGGACTGAAAGGCCAGAGGCTCTGGGAAGAACCACCTACCAGCAGAAGCTGACCTGCCCTGTCCGCCAACTGGATTGGGAGCTCGAAGCAAAGAGAGTTCAGAACCGAAAGGGAACTTACCCACGGCCCTCAGAAAAGGTGAGAAAGACAGTGAACTCGAAAAGGGGCTCACTGGTGCCACGCCTGTTTTTCATTGGCCCTGAAGCCATCAGAAGTCTCCTTCAGTCCCACTGCTACCACCAAATCTGTTAAACAACAAAAACTGAACTCAGTAAATTCAAAAGATCTAAGTGGCCTTATTGAATCCGGCAGCATTCCATCTAGCAAGCAAAGGGGGGAGCTTTGTTGAGTTGCAGAAAAGGAAAGGATTTTTTAAAGGCAGAGAGGGGAAGAGAAAAACAGAAATGAATAGCAAGGATGTATTGTCTCAGGCAAGGCCACCCTCCTGAAGGGAACGGAAGGGTGTCTCAGCACATTTCGCAGTACTGACCAGGAAACACCAGGTGAGCTGGAATCACATTCCTGGGGAGAGATGAAACCATAATCAGGTTAGGCATTAAGTGTTGGTCTGCTGCCATGGGGCCAACACAATGACTCCAGCTAGGGTGCACGTGGTTCCCTTTTTAACAAGGACTGTAGGGGTGCATCCTGTCAGGTGTTTTATTGGGGGGGTGGCAGCGTGAAGAGAAAGGGCGGTGGGCCAGGCAGATAACTGAAGGATGTCAAAGGAAGGAAATACACCAAATTTTTAACAATATTTATCACCGGATGACCAGAATATGGTGGTCTTTTTTTTATGTATGCTATTTTATGTTTTACAACTTCCCTACTATAACACTATGTGTATTTTTAGAATCAGGAAAAAAGTGTTTGGTTTGGTTTTCTCAATATGTAACATGTACCGAGTCTGGTCTTTACTATGTGCCAGCTTGTCGGGTGTGGGAGACACAAAGTTGAATGATTAATGGACATTCTTTGTCTTCAATGGGGCTGCCTCTGTGCGCTAACTGCCCCTCCACTGTATTTGTACACACCTCCCAAGACCTTGTAAGATTCTAAATGGTTTCTGCCACCAGCGTCATTTGTTACGTGACTCTGAATTCCAGTAACAACTGTACTCCATACCACATGAGTTATTTATTGATTATACACATTTGTTAATTCTTGAATTGTTTCAAATGAATATATATATATCTCTTCTTCCCAAAAAAGACTAAGTTTTTTTTAAAAAGACAAAACATTCTTAATATTTCTTTAATATCCCTCAAGATGACTAGACTGGTGTACATTATGTGCAATAAATATGAGTTGGCAGGTTAAAATTCACTTTGAGTCGCCAAAGTACTAACTTTCCCATAACTGCTGTCCTTTGTCTCTCATGGATCTGTTTACCTAATATTTCAATGGCTGGTTCTTCCCCTACTTTTACGAAATTAGCCCTAATTCCCCTTTCATCATTCACACTTCCTTCGTCTTCACATTTTGACCAGCCAGCACTCAGTTTCATGATCCTAAGTGTCTATTTCAGTTAAGGATCTGGAGCGGGTGCAAAATCATACTTAACTGTTTCTTCTTTCCTATACATAGGGAATCCTGTTCCTAAAATTGGGACATATGGTCTTCAAGTGAGTTTTTGTGGCTTTTACTAGGACTGGGGTTAGATTCTATTTTGTAAGCTTTTCCAGTGGTTCCATTTGAATACAGTCTTTGAATCTCATAGGGGAGGTAACATGATATAGCATGAAGCCAGAAAGACCAGGATTTGGATCTCAGCTCAAGTGATAGGGACCACCAGCAAGATACGTCTCCTCTCTGAGCCTCAGTTTCCTTGTACGTAAAATGGGAATCATAACACCTGCCTCTTGATGTTATGATTAAATACGTGTACAATACCTGTCACATAGGTGATTTGCTAAACTGATGGAATGGAAAGAAAGCAAATTACCGGCAAAACACCTGCATAATTGTCCTTGTCCCAAAAGGCAGTGAGAGTCCTTGGTAGAGGATGCAGAGTTCCTTTTAGTCAGATTACTTGGGCAAAGGTCAGCCCCTCCTTCAGTTTATAAGCCCGGGGCAGGGCTTAACAAGGAAGTGGCTCCCTTCATTAAGCCTCCCTCCAACCTCAGTCCCAACCTGAAGAGTCTACTCCCCTGGTGAAGTCTTAGCTCACAAGAGCCTTCTGAAACGAGAAGCCAGGAAGACTCAGTGAAAGCCTCCTCCTTAAGTTTCGTGGAGAGAGACAGAGGTGTAGAACCATCCTTACTGCCACCTGACCCGAAGCAGGAGAAACCGGTGACAGCTTGGAGACCAGGTAACACCAGGAGGCACAGTCTCGCGCGCAGCCTTCCCAGCAGGACACAGTGGGGACTTCAGCCCTGGTTCCGCTGATGAGGGGATCTAACCCGGGGTTAGTAAATCTAACGTTTGCTGACTGAGTTTATTTAAAAACTCTTATCATGTAAATCTCAGGAAGCAAAACTATGAATCTAAAATTAAAGCTAAGCATCTAGCTTACTGAGGTTTCAAGGAAACAGAAAGAGATTATTTAGGTTTCTCTTTCATTTCTTACTTGCTCCAGAAGGTTTAGGATAGTTCAGTTAAGACTATGTAACTGGCCACGTAGGCGGCTGCGGGGAAGGAACCCTCCAGGAGGGCCAAAACAGACGCTGTGACCTGGCTTTCTGGGGCAGGTCTGTGAGAGTTTGCTGTAGGTAGGGGAGGGGAGGTAAATACCGGGTTAACCCGGTACGGCCCTGTCCACGGAGTCGCTGAATTACAAGCCTCACAGGTCTTGTTCCGGAGCTAATTCTCCCCTCCAGGCTCTGAACCTGCACCCGGGGCTTCACGTCCATAAACAGAAGCACAAATCTTACCTGTACGTTTCCATTAACCCCGAAGTTGGGCTTTTACTTTGAACAGAAGGGCTCCAGTGTGTGATTAACTCACTGCTGCTTTAAAATAAGACTCTGCTGTAAATTTAACAACTCACCCTTAATGCACAATGCAGCTTAGTAGGGAAAGTACCCTACGGTTGTTAAACGCACAGAAAGTGTCTTAACCAACACTGGATGCCGCTGCGAGCGCTTGCCAGGCCCCGGTCAGGGCGCCCTCCGCCCCGAGGCCGCTGCCCGAGCCTCCGGGCTCTGCTGCTCTCCGGCCTCGGCCCTGCCTCCTGGCTGCGCCCAGTACTCACATCCTTCCCAGCCGGGCTCGCGACACCAATCTCTTCTTTCACACTTGGAAGCCCTGTGCGCTCCACCGTGGCCTCTGGTTTTCCCCCTTTTCGGATGCTGCTCCTGAATCAGCTTTCCGCAAACGTGTTGCTTACATAAGTTGGCCCCTTCCCCTGGCCCACGACGCCGCGCACACACGTGCAC